ATATTATATTCTCTATAAATTAAACACTCTAATACAAAAGACTCTACTGTGTACTAATTTTTAAAATGTTAGTATCTCTAGTTTTGCCAAATTACTTATTTCCAATACTCAATTCCTCTGACTGTAAGTAAAAGAAGCTGCCTTGTCAATGGACATAACCTGAGGTACACTATGCAAAACTCACATATACATGTTTTCTTTAACCTTGTTAATCAGAAGAGGGAAAATGGCATTATAAAACAAACAAACGTGCACTCACATTTTATCAATAACTAAGATTTCAAATAATCTATACTGTTTCGTACTTTGTAAAATGTTTATTTATATTTTTATCTCCTAGACCACACCCAATAATGCTCAGGGGTTATTCCTAGTTCTGTGCTCAGGGATTATTCTTGGCAGTGTTCCAGAGACCATATGTAATGCTGGGATGGAATCTTGGTTGACTGCATGCATGGAAAGCAACAAACCCGTGTCTCTTTTTATATTTCATGTTGATGGTAACATAATCATGGCTGAATTATTAACCAACCCTCGTAGTCTTGTTTGTCTCCAAACTTAATTCAGCACGTGTAGACAGAATCTAGGTTTTTATATTTAATTGTTTGATTTTAGAATTGGGCTGGAGTAATAGCACAGTGGGTAGGGCTTTTGCCTTGCACACAGCCGACCCGGTTTCGATTCCTCTGTCCCTCTCGAGAGCCCAGTAAGCTACTGAGAGTATGACGCCTGCACGACAGAGCCTGGCAAGCTCCCTGTGGTGTATTCATTATACCAAAAACAGTAACACCAAGTCTCACTTAGTGTTCCTGGAAAGAGCAGATGCCATTGGGCTACACTAGTATGTGACAGGAATGAATGGAGACATTACTGGGGACAGCTCAAACAATTTGATAAACAACAGGATGACAGTGCTATAGGGCTACAGTGCTATTTTAGAATTAATACTCACCTTCTTATTCATGATATATAAATATCAGCATTTCCCAGCAGCAGGTCATATGGCCTCTTTGGATCCATCAGGCTATTTTAAGGGAGACAAAAGTAAAAATCATGTAAATGGAGAGATCAAAGCATGAAACCAGAAGGCCAATCAATAGATAGGATGGGGTATGGGGTACAGGAAGAAGACAAGTTCAAAAAAAAAAAAAAGACCAAGGTCAAAAACAGTTTGAGAAATACTGTAATATAAATCTTCTCAAAAAGGGTATTAGGAATTTGCTTCTTCCAGTTACTGTGAAATTCCAGTTTTCCATTTCACTAATGAATGTGCTGATTGTTTATAAAGTGACAAAAAACAGTCATATCTTGTGGGCAGTCACAAAAATAAGCTACGAGACAGATCTTTATTGCAAGAAACAATTCTTTATCTATTGCATCTCTAAAGAGACAACAACAATAAAGACAATTTTCACAAATAATTAAATCCTAGAAAATACATAATCTTTCTCCAGCTTCAATTAAATACAAGTCATTGCTCAGCAAAGTTAACTTTCTGATTGTATGCATGTGAGTTGACTATGATTTCAGTAACCATAAAATCCTTTCTTCACATTATAACCATAATAAATTCAAGTTTATTGAAGAGGAAGAAAGATTTGCCTAACCTCTAGAGGAGAAAAATTTAATGGTTTTTATATTTCAAAACTATGCTGAGGCATTCACGTTAGGGATCTTGAGACGGTATCAAGAAGACAATGTGATTCATGTTCATTTACTTCAAAATTCTTAGAGGGCAAAGGTGATGGAGTTTCAGTTTTGCTAACAGAAAGATTTAATTTGTACAAGAAATAGTGGCATTTGATGTAGATAAAGCAACTTGATATATGTCTGTCTGTCTGTCTGTATGTATGTATGTATGTATGCATATATGTATTTGCTGTTTGCAGCTAATTTCAGATGAAGATGACCAGGTTGACTCACAAAATGAAGACATGACAAAATTACTTCATTTAGGAAACACTTATTAAATATTAGTACATTATTCTAGGATAGTTTTATAGACTGGAGCCCCCTTTTATTTTGCATGCAGGTGGGCCATAATTGTCCCAGGAGTACCAGAGGGTACCACTGCTGAGTTGAGTTAGGAAGTCGCCAGGGTCTGCCAGGTGTGATCTAAACACCAAAACATAACAACTGTAAATCAATGGATAAAGGTTAGATACATAGAAGCCTTTCTTTTGATTACTTAGATAAAAAAAACCAAGAGGTCTTTGGGAGTTAAAGACTGATAACATTTATGTGCCAAGTTAAGAAAAATAATAACTATATCACAATAATAACTAATTACTTTTTGATTAACACAAAACTCTTGCTATAATTCAAGCCTAGGATAAGTGCAAGAAAGATTTTAAGAATAATAGTTATGCTTTCCAGGATTTGTTATCTACACTAAGGGAAAGCTGTGCAAATATTTACAGTTCTATGGTTTTGTGTATCAGAGGTAAGCGCATGACGTGGGAGTGCAAAAAGGGGCCTGTGACACATTTGAACTAGGGAAAAATTGAAATGCAGAAAGAACTATGAGAAAAGTTTCAAGGAAGTACAACAATGTTTGAGTAAAACCTTTGATTATTTGACATAGAAAAAAGTTGTGTTTTAGTAATGCAAAAATAATGTGTGTATACCATATACTAAAAATTACTAATTTGGCCCTTAATTCTGATTTCTGGGAGGATATATTAAGTCTTTATGGAGAAAGTGTTAAGTCTATACCTTGAAGGCTAGTACAGGTTGAGATGGGGAGAAAAGAACCATTCCAATAGAAGAAAAACATGAACAAATGTATGAAAGTGAGTATGTTCATTGAGCTAACACAAGCATACTGAGTTATAGCTACAGCCATCCTGAGGACAAGTTTAACCATAAAATTACTATAGCTTTATCTTGGTGAATAATGATAATAAATAATATACAAACTTAAAACATGATATTCAGTATTTTGGTTCAAGTTATTTAATCATATTTTTAAAAACTAGGTATGTGCACTAAAGAATATAGTGAAAAGTAGTGAATTAGTTTTCTTTTATTGTATTTTTTGTGTGTGTGGAAAGGGTGGTGAATTTTCATACCTCAAGGAAGCCTCATTTTCAATCCTACTCTTTTTCATTCATTATGCTAATATTATATTAATAGTCTTAACTTTCTTCTATATAAGGGAAGATATAAAATCTGCCTATTTCTCTGGTTTTCTCACTTGACTTCTGTAAGGTAAAGGTAAAGGTAAAGGCCCTCCCGTTGATCGTCGATTTGCTCGAGCGGGCCCAGTAACGTCTCCATTGGAGACTTTGTTGTTACTGTGTCTGGCATATCAAATACTCTCGGTAGCTTGCCGGGCTCTCCGAGAGGGGCGGAGGAATCGAACTCGGGTCGGCCATGTTGGCCGCTTGTAAGGCGAACGCCCTACCCGCTGTGCTATCGCACATTTTATTTTTCTACCTTACTTCTGTAAGGTAGAAAAATAAAATGTACAATATGACTGTAATTCAAATGATTTTGATTTCATGCCTCTTATAAGTTATAAAAATTTATATATAAAATATATATATCAGAGTTCCTTAATCTGAGAATAATACTTATTTCTGTAATGTTATAGAATATTTTGAAATGTATATTTGATTTATTTTAAAAAGGTAAAGGTAAAGGCCCTCCCGTTGATCGTCGATTTGCTCGAGCGGGCCCAGTAATGTCTCCATTGGAGACTTTGTTGTTACTGTGTTTGGCATATCGAATACTCTCGGTAGCTTGCCGGGCTCTCTGAGAGGGGTGGAGGAATTGAACTCAGGTCAGCCATGTTGGCCACTTGTAAGGCGAACGACCTACAGCTGTGCTATCGCTCCAAAGCATTAAATTAATTAATTGCTAAAAAGCTAATTTTACATGTAGGCATTGGCTGAAGATACCTGTTTGTAAACATTAAGAAGGTGATTAGAGAAAGAATGCAAGTTTTTGGTTTTTTGTATTTCTCAAAACCATACATGAATCCAGTAAAGAAGCTAATGTGACAGAATAGTCTTTGAAAATTAAGCTTCATAGTTAATTGTTGTATAAACTTAAGTAATTAAGTCCCACTGAACCTTACTGTTACTATTTTCAAATTAGATGATAATAAGAATTAAATGAGACTAATGGAGAGAAATATAAATAATATATAATATTTATACACTCTCACTATTCTATTCTTCTACCTTGGCTGTGGTATTTTCTACTACATTGGGGTTACCACACAGTTAACCATATTTTGTTGTCTCCTCTCTAATTTTGGAGAGGAAAGAGTATTATTAGGGGGAGATAAACTGGGAAAAATTCTCTTTTCTCAGCTATGATAAAGTTTGGAAAGTACCAAGCTAGTACATGGCCACATTATAGAGAATACTTTTGAGTATTTCATGACCTTTACATTTCCAGAAAGAGAGATTTTTCCCCCTCAAATATTCAATGAGAAACCCGGTAGGCTTCCTCAAGGTAAAGTCTACCAATGTGTGGAGGCATGCAGAAATTTCTCACTAAAACTAGTCTATACTCACCCTCTAGCAATTTGCCATGCTTACCATTTCAGCACTTATAACAGTCTCCCTTTGCTACTACTCCATATAATCTTATCTTTTATCCTTTCCTTAATCAAAAATTACTGTTATTTTCGTTGGTATACTCTTCTTTACTTTAGCTATGTGAGTAGACCTTATAAACAAACAAGACAAACAAAAAGCAATAACAATCACCAGATAATAACGCCAAAACTAATTCATAGACATTGTTTTTATTATTCTATTATATCTATTTTATTATTCTATTATATCTAAATGATGTTCATATTTTTGCTTTTGATGTTCAAAATTACTGAACTTCTACTACCCAAAATGTTAAAATTACTCCACCATTGTCCTTAGTAAAAAAGCTTTTGGTGTTAACTTTCAGGATTTGGCTTTCTATGGATTTTGAGAAGGTGGTTTTCCTGAAACCCTTGGACACTAATGATTTCTTTAAAAAAATATTTTTTAAATACTATAGTTTCAGGGATTGTTTTTATAGTTCATAACCAAAGAATTTTTTGTGATTGTGTAGAGCACCTGAAACCATGAGGAGTCAGAGCATCCTCTCCTGAGCATGACACCAGTTTTTGGTGTTGGTTCTGCAATTGTCTTTTTACCATTGATAATTGTTCTTCTCTTCCTTCAAAGGGAGAGGGAAAGGATGCAGTCTGAGTGATTACAATAAGAAAAAAAAATGATTTTCAAATAAGCAACATTTTTTTTGTTTTTGTGGCAGAACTGATGACTTATTTCTTGCACAGCAGAATTGAAATTGGAAACCTAATGTGTATTTAGAGATTCTTCATATACTGTAATCACTTGATCACTTAATAACCTGTTACTCATTGATTTGCTCGAATGAGAGCCAGTAATGTCTCCATTTGTTTCTGTCGCTAGTGTAGCCCAATGGTGTCTGCTCGCTACAGGAACAGGAAGAGCCTCAAACCATTTTTTCAGTCTTGACAAAGAAGTCTGACCATCTTGTAGGTGGGTGGCCATGTGATCTTTTGAAGTCAAGTGGAATCCAGTCAGTAACAGCCCTAGTCCAGCAGACATCTTCAAATCACATTATGTGCCCAGCCCATCTGATTTTCGATACCTTGGCAAATGAGATAGCATCCCTGATTCTCGATCGTTGATGGAGGTTGGAACTCCGGTTCCTTCTCTCACGTGAGTGAAGCTTGATACTCCAAACATAGTTCTTTTGATTCCTCTTTTGGAGACCCGAATAGCATTCTCATCTCGTTTTCGTAGGGCCCAGGTCTCTGAGGCATATGTTAGTGCAGAGAGAATGGTGGAGTCGAAGAGATGTTCCCGGAGCCGGAGGTTCTTCGTTCTCTTAGCTTCGTCCTCTTCGATGCTCTTGAAGGCGTTCCACACTGGTCTCTTCTTCCTGCACAACTCAGGTGCCAGGTCATTCATCATGTTGACTTCTCAACCTAGATACACATAACTGCTGCATTAGGAGATGTTCATTACGTTGAGAGCAAATGGAATGTCAGGATTGAGTCCATTTTTCATAAATATTGTCTTCATGAGATTCAGCTGCAGTGCAATCTTTCCACACTCATGGTCAAAGTTGACCAGCATTTTTGCCGCTTGACTAATGTTTGGTGTTATTAGAACGATGTCATCAGTGAAGCAGAGGTGGTGTAGTTGCCAACCATCTATCTTCACTCCCATTCCTTCTCATTCCAGTCGTTGCATGATTTTTTCAAGGGTGTCACTGAAGAGTTTGGTGAAATGGTATCACCCTATCAAACTCCTCTTTTTTTGTATTTTTAGGGTCACACCCAGCTATGTTCAGGGATTACTCCTGGCTTTGCACTCAGGAATCACTCCTGGAAGTGCTGTGGGACCATATGGGATGTCAGGGATCAAAACCATGTCGGGCGCATGCAAGGCAAGTGCCCTACCCACTGTACAATCGCTCCAGCCCCCAAACCCCTCTCTTGACATGGATTATCACTTCCTTATAGAATGGTGAGATCCTGGTGGTGAATCCATAATACAGCTCACAGAGGATCCTGATGTACTGAGTTTGAATGCCCTGTTTCGCTAGGGCTTTGATGACCGCTTTAGTCTGAACAGAATCAAAGGTCTTCTTTAAATCAATGAACAGAGTGGCATCTTGAACTCTCGAGAATCCTCAATGAGCTTGGTTACTGTGTGAGTATCGTCGATTATGCTGAATCCTTTCCGAACCCATCTTGCTCGCATGGTTGTCCTTCATCTAGTGCTCTGCAAATCTTATTCAGGATAACTTGAGTGAACAGCTTGTAGACTATGAACAACAGGCAGATCAGGTGAGAGTTGTCAATGTCATGGATGTCTCTCTTTTTCTACAGTAGAATTGTCCTACTGGTTTTCCATTGGCATGAAATCTTGTATACAGACAGGAAGCATGTGAAGATCTTAGCCAGTGTATTGATGAATACTGATGGCAGATTCTTCAGGTATTTCAGGGTCAGGTGCTGTTCGATTATTTACCAATGAAATAGCATTTCGGATTTCAGAAGGGAGAACATTGGAAACAACATATCCATCCTGTGGAATTTGGTATGTGGGCAGGTGGATGTGGCTATCAAAGAGATCTGAGTAGAAGTCATGGATGATTTTCTCCATTGCCCTTCTGGAAGATGTGATAGATTCTTTAGGATATCGGAGGACAGTCATCTCGGTCTTGAAGTTGGTGAAGGGCAGTCAGGCATTGTGAATAGTTTTCCCGGCTTATACTGAAATGGCCAGCACTGCTGCTCTTCTCTTTTTGAGGTCTTCCTTTATCGCTTCTCTGCACTGTTTTGCGAACTCAAACATTAGCTTGTGGTTTCCTGAGGCTCGTGCCAACCTACATTGAAGAATGAACTCGAGAGTTTCTGAAGACAGGCATCTTTTTGTGGGTTTCTTGGCGTTCCTAGCAAAAATCATGAAGGTGCTGAACCAGTCGATCATATTCCTCATCAATGTCATCAATGATACCATCTTCCCAAGTTGCTGCAATAGTGCCAAATAGTGCCAAAGAGCTCCCAGTTGCTGGTCATTCTGGGAGTTCTTTTCTTAAACTTCGCAGCCTTTTCTCCCCCCTCTGGGATGTAGAATTTTGCACAAAAAAGATGGTGCTCCGATCCTGTTTGGAATTTTGAGACAACAGTGAATTTGGCCAGGCAAAACCATTAATTGAATATGATGAATATGATGTGATCAATTTCATTGTGGAACTGTTTACCAGGAAACTCCTATGTCCAATATTTAGATTTGACCTTCTGGAACTGTGAGTTACCATGGATGGTCTTGGTTGACATGATGAACTCAGAAAGTCTCTCACCCTGTTCGTTCCATTCTAGGCCATGGGTCCCAATGTGGAGTTCTTTGAGCGATCTTCTCAATCCTATCTTGGCATTAAAATCACCGACAATGATCTTGTAGAAGGTGTGGTCTACTTTATAGAACTTGTCCAGATCCATGTAGAACTTCTCAATTTCTTCTTTATTATAGTTGGATGTTGGTGCATAGATGATCAAGATAGAAACTGCCGGCAGTGAGCACATCTATCCAAGCATAAGCATCCGATTTGGGATCTTAGGCATTCGAATGAAACAATGCTCATGGCCAAGTTTGTGTTGATGAGGACACTGACACTACTAACGCCTCATTTGTCGCATGTTCTGATGCCTCCTTTGTCACACATTCCGAGGAGCAGTTCTTCTCCAGTGTCAAATTTGGCGTGATGCGGTTGATTTCTTTTCATCTCTATCAGACCAATGATGTCGTACTTGATCTTCCGAGCTTGCACCATCAGGTCCTCGGTGGTGCCTCCAATGCCAGTGTACATGTGTTGAAAATAGTCATTTTAGTCCTTCTTCGTTTTGGCAGCTTAATCCAGCCCTGAGATTTTATACATTTACTGTAATATGTATTATATGTTAAAAGTGGGTAGGGTATTTGCCTTGCACGCAGTCAACCTGGACGACCCAGGTTCGATTTTTCTGCCCCTCTTGGAGAGCCTGGCAAGCTACCAAGAGTATATCGCCTGCACAGCAAAGTCTGGCAAGCTCTCCATGATGTATTCAGTATGCCAAACACAGTAATTACAAGTCTCACAATGGAGATGTTATTGGGCCTGCTCGAGCAAATCGATGAACAATGGGGAGGACAGTGACAGTGACAGTGACATATAAAATATTTTCTTTCACTGTATCTCTGCTTTTCCTTTTTATGTTCCCGTGGTATTCAGGATTAAGAGAATTTTCTAATTTTAATGGAACTTAATTGGCAATATTTTTGTATCAGTTAAACAAAGTTAAAAGTTATGAAAATATTTTCCTAAGATTCTCTATATAAGCTTTATCATCTGACCTTTTATTTTTCCTTTATGATACTCCTGTACAAAGCATACAAATCAATAATAATAGAAAATAAAATATTCATAATAAGTATTGTTTATAATATAACTAATTTATGATTTTTTATATTATTATATAAGTTCATCACATTTTTTTAATTTCCTTTTGGTTTATCTAGAACATGAGTAGTTAAAATTTTTATAAAGTAACTAACAAGTAAATATTTTTTTCTCTGTGAGTCATGTTGTATCTATCATAGTTACTAAACTTGAAACTCAAAAGCAATCAATAAGCAATATGTAAAAGCAATATGTAAAAATTCTAATAAAACTTATTTGCAAATGAAGTGACAAGCCTTAGTGTGGTTGAATATTTGGATGTCTCCTCTATTACCATACCAAACCAGTGAGATTTTAAATGGAATTTAAATTAAGCCATAAATAAAGACTATATTACATCTTTCCACTATTGAGTATTTTAATCAATAACTAGAAGATACTTTTCAATTTATTTAGTAGTCTTAAAAATTTTCTCACAATAAATTTTTTATAATTTCTGAGTAGAAATTTTGAACAACTTTTTATTGAATCTTTGCTAAATATTTAAATTTAAATAAATTAATTTAGCAATAGAAATGATTTTTGATATTTCTTTAAACTGTTGTTTATAATATTTAAACATCAAATCAGATTTGTGAATCAGACTTTATTTCTATAATAAAATATATCAAACCATAATACATTATCCTTATATTTTATCACATTACTGTGATTTATTTTTCTTCAGATTTTTAATATTTTTTTGTCAAAGAAAATGGCCTTCATCTTCTCTTCAAGAGATTTTTAGGTGTTGATAGCAGCCTATGACGGTATTATTGAAAAGCTCTGAATGGTCATTATTTAGTTTTGTTTTATTTTGTAAGCCTTTTAGTATTCAGAATTTACTCCTGATCTACATTCAAGGATCATTCCTGGCTGTTCTAGAGGGTGTCAGGATTGAACCCTGATTACTATATGCAAGGCAAGTACCCTCCCTGCTTTACTATCTCTCCAGTCCATCACTGAATTTTCAAGTCTAGATTCTAGCCATCCACAACCTTTTAAAGTAATTTTCCAGATATTAAAACCTGACCACAATTTAATCATGATTTTCCACAAATATACACTCTAAAATCATTTGTTGCCACAAACACCTGATATGTTATAGCATTCAGTCATTCAGAGAAATTAGGTCATATTATTTTTTTAAACTCTATTTTGAGTATTTTCCTAAAATATTTGTACAAATGTTATATTTATTACTACCAATCTTTAGTGATTTCTCAGGAAAGCAAA